TTTCATAGGTTTACATTTTATTTTAATTCAGTTGATTTTTATAATCGATAGATAGATAGATAGATAGATAGATAGATAGATAGATAGATAGATAGATAGATAGATAGATAGATAGATAGATAGATAGATAGATAGATAGATAGATAGATAGATAGATAGATAGATAGATAGATAGATAGATAGATAGATAGATAGATAGATTAACTTTTACCGATACCGATGCTGGTATTGGTATTGGTATCGGCACCGATACCGAGACCAGTATCGGTACATCCCTAGCTAAAATAATTTCTTCCAAAAAAAAACAAACAATAGATGTTTGCACCGTTGCCAGACGCTTTTTTTTTTCACTAGAAATCTACGGCGTCGTGCGGTACAGTTGGGATTTCCGTCTTTTTTCTGATTGGTCATTTTTGAGCTTCCTAGTCCCGCCCCTCAAGTGCCTCTCTGCCTGTGAGTTACCAGACTCATTCTCTGTGCAGAATTAAACAGGCCAGACTAGCGATAATGACTTTTAAATGTTTTATTATTACTTTTAAAGTCAAAGATTTGAATTTTTATCATGAGACACAAACTCAGATCTTTCATAATTAGTCTTAGGTGTGTTCTTGCTGTGTCGTGGTTCTAATTCCATGCTTTCGTTCTTTTTAAACACAGAAACAGTTTTGCTTACCTGTTTTGACGCTACATTTCGCCGGCAGCTGCAGACTTCTTCAGGCTGACGCTGATGGTGGCGCGTCACTTCCGTTGTTGCTCTCTACACATTAGACCGCGCATGGGACTGCATCGTCGGAGAGGGGAGAGCGGGCAGTAGAGGGCGACAACGTCCTCTGCTGCCCGCGAATAAACGGAGAAGGAAGTGACGCCACCATCAGCGTCATACTGAAGAAGCCTGCAGCTGCCGGCGAAACGCAGCGTCAAAACAGGTAAACAAAACTGTTTCTGTGTTTAAAAAGAACGAAAGCATGGAATTTCATAATTAGTTATAATTACAAATTGGGATCTGATAATTATGACGTTGATGGTAAATATTATTATTATTTTATGTTTTTATTTTTTCCATTTATTGACATTAAAATCAAAATGCAAAATGAAAAGGGGACAGAAAGAAGAAAAACTTATGTTGTCTGCCTCTTTTAGCTATAATAACATGAATACAAATGAAACAACAGTGTGAGTCTTAATTCATTTGATCAATAGTTTCTGGACTGGTTGGCCGACACAACCTCAACCCATGAACTGAAAAGGAGAGAAAACAAGTTACACAGAAAGAAGAATAAAGTTAGTTAGTTAGTTAGTTAGTTAGTTAGTTAGTTAGTTAGTTAGTACATATGTACACTTGTTCCCTTTGACCTTTTTTTGCCTTTCTCTTGTTTCTTTCACCCCTCCAACCCCCCTCCCCCCACGTGTTTATGTAACAGATCTATAGAAGTTAATCTCTTCATTTTTTATCTCTTTTTTGAAAGTCAATATTGTTTTTGCATTCTTAACTTCAGTATTTAATTTATTCCACATTTTAACTCCATATATGGACACACAGCGTTCCTTTATGAGTATCCGATGTCTAGGTATGTTCAATAATTCATGTCCTTTTAGATCATATTTGCTGTCTTTCTGTAAATCTTTTGATTAAACCTGCAGGTGCGTACCTTTTTTTTGCATTATACATAAATTTAAAAATATTGTAGTCCACCAGATGGTAGAATTTTAGTGTTTTTAATTGTTTATATAACGGATTGGACGGATCTATGTAGTTGCTCCTTGTGATGTTTCTTATCGCTGTTTTCTGTAAGATGTAAATGGAATTTGTGTAAGTTTTATATGTTGTTCCCCAGATTTCAGTGCAGCAGTTCAGGTACGGTATGATCAGTGAGTTAACAAATACAGGGAATCATAATCAAGTAACCATTTAGCTCTATGCAACAGTGCAAAAGCTTCAGATATTTTAGTTTTGACACGGTTTATATGGAGTCATTTTTTCATCAGTGACGACTCCCACATACTTGACTTCTTTTCCTCTTTTAATATTAATCTCATCTATATTTAATAAAAAGTCATCATTTGAATATGTATTACTAAATATCATAAAACATGATTTATCACTGTTTAATGATTGTTTGTTCCCATCAAACCATGCATAACTTCTATCATCATATTATGGCTTTGACTCATTAATCATGACTGAGATTAAACATTTTTAATCATGGCTTTAGAAGATAATTTATCATAATTAGAGTTCAAGTCTCATTAGTCATCACTCACTGATGAGACTTGTTCTCCACACCTGACCAAGCCCGTGGGAGTGGTGAGCTGCAGCTGCGGCCGCGCTCGGGGACTATTGGGGGGTTTAGCCCCCCCCCCAACGCAGGGTGGCGTTGGGTCCCATTTTTAAGGTCTTACGGTCTAACCCTGAAACCACTGAGCTGGTGTTAGTTATGAGTTGTGTATTAATGACCTCTCTGCCTCCCAGGTCATTACCCGACTGGGAAGAACCGACCGTGCTGCGTTGAAACCACGAAGAGGAACGTCGGCTCTCAGATCGTGGGGAACACCTACTCCAGGCAGCGCTCCAGATCCCACTGTGTGGAGGCCATCCTGTGAGTTTAAACTCCTTTTAAAACATGTCGAAAATCACAGATTTATTTATATTTGTTCATTTTTCAGATTCAACACGGCTAAAGGAATTATCTGTGTTGACCCCAAAGCTTCCTGGATCCCAGCACGTAAGTCATCCCAGCAAATAAATCCCACTCATCAGATACTAAACATGACTCAGCATGTCTCCTTTCCTCTCTAGGGATCGCCAACATGACGGAGGAGGGATGAACTCTCCCCTCCTGCTGGAGGAGGCATGCTCCTGCTTCACTCATGAACGTGCAGATAAACTAATAATTATCATTAAGCTGAGCTTCTGCAGGAATTTTAATAAATAATATTTACCCCAAATATAAAACATTTTATTTTGTTTTTTAATTTAAACTTTTCTGCAAAAGAGACACGATTCTTACACCTGACTTTATATTTAGCTGCTCAGTAAGGCCGAGGGCCACCGGCGAGGAAAAGGAACCTGACTTTTATCCGATTTGTCTTTTCGTTTCTGGCCCTCATCCTCTTCCGTAGCTCACAGAACTCATTATTGTAATAAAAATTAAAGGATGACAAAATAATATTTAAACGTTACAACATAGAAAAATAGGGAATTTACTTCATTTGTTGTAAAATCTTTCATTCAAAAGAATAAAAAACAGATAAAAATGATTTTCCTTATTGTTGGGATTAAAGGGTCAGCTCTGGACTGGTTTAGATCGTATCTCCACAACAGGACTTTCTGTGTTAAACTGGGTGATGTTTTTTCTTCTTGGGAGGGGCTCCGCTGGGGGGTCCCGCAGGGATCGATCCTTGGTCCACTTTTGTTTGCCATTTATCTGCTTCCTCTGGGGTCAGTCTTTCGTAAACATGGCCTAGCGTTCCACCTCTATGCTGACGATTGCCAGATTTACTCTCCATTGTGTCAGGAGAAAGGTCTCTCCATCCAGTCCTTTGTGTCCTCTCTTAACTTGGGCAAGACGCTTAACCCACCTTGCCTGCTGGTGGTGATCGGAGGGACCGGTGGTGCTCGGCAGTCTCATCTCTGTCAGTGCGCCCCAGGTCAGCTGTGGCTACATCATACCTCATCCCCATCAGTGTCTGAATGGATGAATGATACACTGTAGTGTAAAGTGCTTTGGAGTCCTTACTCTGAGAGGCGCTATACAAGTGCGGGTCATTTATCACTTATCATCATTTAAGACAGTCTTCATTGTTTTTCACCCCAATGGCTTCCGGTCTGTTATCGTTCACACTTTAAACTCCTCGTCTTTGTTTATAATTTCATCCAGGGTGGTGGTCCCCCCTATCTAGCCACACTCCTGAACAGACATTCCCCATCACGCGCTCTGCGCTCCTCTGACCAAGACCTGCTCGCTGTCCCTCGGTCTAGGTGTCGTACCCGCGGGGACCGGGCTTTCTCAGTCCTAGCACCGTCACTCTGGAACCAGTTGCCACCCTCAGTCAGGCTGTCCCCCTCTCTGCCAGCCTTTAAGAGTCACCTAAACACCCACCTCCTCCGCTTGGCGTTCCCTGAACGTGTTCGAGTTTGGCCCTCTTTATGTTTATTTCATTTCCCTGCTTTCATTGGTCTCTTTATCTCTTGTTTTATCTATTTGTTTCTACTTTAATATTTTACCTTTTTTGTACTATTTGAATTGCTTTTATTTTCGATTTATTCATCATGTTTCACGTTTCTCATGTACCGTGTTCAGCGACAGGGTCGCGGAAGGCGCTTTATAAATAAAGCTTTGATTGATTGTTTCGACCACATCAACTTTGCTGCCATCTAGTGGACACAACTGGTATGAAACAGTCACCTGGACATCATATAATCACAATAAAGGAATAAATATAACATATGGAGCCATAATTAATACAAACCTGGTGACAGGAAGCACTTTGTAAAGGTGAATAAACTAAACTCACTCCAGATTCTGATCCCTCTTCTCTTCACTCTGCTGCGCTGATTCCTGAAAGACTCACAAGAGATAAGAAACATTTATTTGGAAAAATCCTGAGGAAACATTTGTACTTTGCTCTGTTATGGAGGACGTTTGCGTCCACGTGGGACAGGTTAGAGACGTCCCAGAACAGGACATGATGGTGACGTTTAATAATTACCTTTAGTCAGTTATCAGACGTTTTCCTGCAGCTTCCTGGTGGGCGTTGGTCCTCCTGGGCCTCCGTCCTGCAGTTAGAGGTTCCTCTGCTCCAACACACCTGCAGCAGCAGGCGAACAGGTGACTCAACCATTTAACCAGGTGTGTTGGAGCAGCTAGGATGACGTCATACCTCATTTACATATCAAGGTATTTTCTGAAAACCAAAAGGCCACAGCTGGGATTCGATCCTGCGGTGCCACCAACCGCCCCACCGTGCAGCTGGATGGTTCTGACCGACCCAAACATGTGTGTGGTGTTTTTTTATTAGGACGATATAAAAAGGTGTCATGACAGTTTTTATAATAAAAATAAACCTTCTATCATAAATCCAGCAGGTACCGATATAAATAAAAGGTGTCAAATACAACGTGTCCTCTAATATTTAGGTTTCATCCTAATAAAACAAAAATATGATAAAAGTCTCGACGATGAAACAAAAACACTTTAAACCAAACTGAGATATTTTCCGTGAGGATTTCCTCATCCTGACTGGATTTGGATCGGTTCTGCAGGTCGTCCTTAACAGCCGCCCCACGGCCCGGGAGGAATGTTCTGGAAATGAAGTCTGAGTAGCCCCAGTGGTCCTCCAGCTCCTCACACGGTGATCCTAGTCCATGTTCTGGTTCTGATCAGACCCTGGTCGGCTGAGGAGGAGGAGTGTGGAGCTGTGTGGAGGATGGAGCTCTCAGGCAGAACCTTACAGAGGAAGCTGGGAGGATCCGAGGAGCAGCCCGGGTGGAGTCCGGCCTGCTGGGAACCAGATGAGCTCGGATGTGGTTCTAGAGAAGCTCTAAAGATGTTCTAGATGACGTAAGGTTCTTTGGTGACACTCGTTCCCTCCGGGGGTTTGGTCTTCAGAGCATGCTGGTCTCTGTCTGCAGGATGGACTGGGCCCGGATGTTTCTGGAGAACTGGGCTGGGTTTTCTGTCCCGCTTCGGGTCACCGATGTGAGGCGGAACCTGTAATCCCATCCAACGCAGCTCTTCAGAGATACACTCCTCCAGGTCCTCCTCAGCTCGCTCTGGACCTGAGGACAACCAAACCGGACTCTTCAGAACCATCAAGTAGAGAAGAGATAAAAGATGTCGGTGCTGGAAAAACTCGCCTCGCTGTTCAGGAAGCAGTAGAGAACAGCCACGATCAGACCCTGAAACACAGACAGACATCAACTCTGCTCCCAACAGGAAGCTGACGACGTTCCAGAACCATCCCGAGTCCCATCGTGTCTCACCTGGAAGGACCCGAGGCCCAGGTCAAAGAAGATCTTGACCTGCTTCAAGGTGTCATCAGCCGGTTCCAGCAGGTAGAAGAACATCACGTAGTTGACTCCAAACAGAGGGATGAGCAGCAGGGTGGACTTGGCCAGGCGCCTGGAAGTAAAGACCAGAAGGATCAGCCGGACCCAGGTCACCTCCGAACCCCCTCAGTCCAGTCCCACCTGTACTGTGACTGGTCGTTTCCTCCAACGCCGGAGCAGCGGAGCTTCTGCACCAGGACTCGGATGATGCTGACGAACAGGATGAAGTTTATCTGAAAGTGGAAAAAGGTGAGAGAAGCTTTTCAGCAGGAACTGAATCAGATGTTTCCTCCGGAGCGAGGACGCGTCACCAAGCCAGTAAAACGGCTTTGATACCAGTAAAGTTTAATCCAGCTATCTCCGTGTGAATACATGATAACTAATCCTGAAGACAACCTGGATGATTGTCCAGCTCTGATCGGCATTTTCATTATCCGGAATGTTTGTGAGAACAAAAGCTCGTTTAGCAGCAGCGTCGTGAAACCTTACGCTGAAGTGGAACAACACGAGAAGGAAAAGGGCAACAGCAGATGAAATCTGGACTGAACTCACGATGATGGACGCCATGATGGGCCAGTTGATCAGCCTGTCAGGAACTGGGTGGTCGTTTATCTCCCAACATCTGGAAAACCAAAATAGAAGAAACAGGAATGCTAAAGCTGCAGCCAGTGGCTCATCAGGGTCACCATGGTAACCAGCTGGGAGTCAGACCGCATCCTCAGACAGCTGCTGGGTGAAGATGCGAGGATCTTCAGGTCGTTGCCATTCGAGGTCAGTGCATCCTCGTTAGGGGGCGGAGCTTTCGCTCAGCGCTGCTCCAGCTGAGACTCATGTGTTCATCAAGGCTGCAGGGTTAGGGTCAGAGTCTGTTGGACGGCTGCTTTGATGCCAGATTGTCATCAGAACTTAATAACTTCTGCTGCGTCTCTAATCTCAGTTTTCTCTCCCTTCACCACTCAAGCAGCAGGAATAATCTGGAGCTCTCCACAGCTTTCCTCATCCACGAGACCAAGTTGGACCCTTTCTCTCCTCCCAGAAGAGTCCCGGAGCCTTGAATCCTCCACAGGAAGCAAAACTCTCTAGAATAAAGAACTTGTGGGTTCGGCTCTCCTCTCTGATCCAGCAGGAGGCTCTGATGGTCACGCGGGACGGTGTTTAGGTTCCACGAGGATTCAGAAACAGAACGTGGTCGTCAGCTGTCAGGTTTGTGTAGAAATCTCCAGAAATCCTCAGACTTAATGGGATCAAAGTCCAAGTGTGACATGTTTAAGCTCTGAATGGTAATGTGGAGTACACCTGAGCCAAGGAGGGGCGGGGCATCCTCACCTGGTTCTCCTGATCATGTTTAAAGAGCAAGTCGGCCTTGTTCGAGTTGAGCTGCGCCTCGCCTGGAAAGCAGACGAGAGCAGACGGAAACCGCAGGGGGAGTGGCTGAAAGCGGCGTTTAAGTCGGACACAGATTCCTGCATGTGTAGCTCGCGGGTGCTGATGGCTGAAGTACGCGCGTTAGCGTCCACACTTGTTTAATTTTCAATTTTAATTCTGGTGCCTGTCAGCAGCTGAAACACTGTAAAGGTTATCAGCCGTAGCTTTAGTGTGCTCATAGGGAACGTGATAAAAGAACACAAAACACATTTATCTTCATGGCCTATATAGTTGTCATCATCAACATAACATGATTTACAGAATACATGTGACCAACTAACATTTCATGTTTTAGCGATGGGTACCCGAATTCGGTACTTTTTAAGGTACCGATCCAATTCCATAGTACCGACTGAGCACCGATTCACGTCATTTCAAGCGGTGCCTTGTTTCGGTACCCGTCCTTCATAACGAGAACTTGCCTAGACAGCTGCGCATGCGCAAGAGCGTTATGTCGTCGGTCGCTGTGAGCGAGTTGTAAACAGAGCAGCATGGTAGAAAGAACGCACGCTAACGCTTGGGTCCACTTCACTAAATGTGATGGGTAACTGGGTGATGATGAAACCAGCGACAACGATCTAAGTGAGACATCCTCATCTTAATCTGCTCCGGTACGTAAATAAAATGTTTAAGATAACGTTAGCTTGATTTGTTAGCTACCGTTTCGCTAATGGTGCGTTCGCTTTCTCCTCGGAACTCCGAATTTCTGACTAGAAGAACATGAACGCGCTCTAAAGTTTGGCTTCACTTTACTAAATGTGACGGGTGATTGGGTGAAGATGAAACCAGCGACAACGATCTAAGTGTGAGGCATCATCGTTTTAATCTGCTCCAGCAGCTAAATAAACTGTTTAAGATAACGTTAGCTTGATATGTTAGCTTCCATTGCCACCGTCGTTATTAGCTAATGGTGCGTTCGCTTTCTCCTCGGAAATTCTAACTTCCCAGTAGGAAAAATCAAATGAAAAAAGACGGCAAAAGGAATGAAGATACACAGTAAATTTAGTTCACAGTAAAGATGTTTGCTTCAGTTTAATTATCAGCTTATAAAACTACAAGGACCATGTTAAAATACAAACAGTTGTATGTTATTTATCGTGATATTTATCAAATATTGTTATATATTGAGAAAAATATATATTTAATTATAAAAGAGAATTAAAATAATAAACACTCAAAAGTATCGAAAATTGGTACCGTTAAGTACCGGTATCGATTCCTAGGTACCGGGAATTAGTACCGAATCGATTCAAATGTCAAAGGTACCCATCCCTACCTGTTCTACCACCGGATGTTTGGATCAAAATATGAACCAATCAGATCTTAGATCAGGTGAGAGCCAGGCGTTTCCCGTCATCCCCTAGGTTTTGCAGCCAGTGGAGAGCAACTGCAGTGCCTTGCTCCAAATCTGCGGCCGCCTTGATCTCACGAGGTCATCGTTGCCTACGTATGCATGACGTCAGAGCAAGTCGGACACAAATCTAACCGGCATGCGCTGCTCGCCGATCACCGCTGATCTAATCTGCGCAGAACTGGCTCATCTCGAACACGGTCACCCCCTACAAGAAACTTACTCCACTCCCACTTCCTGTTTGAAAAATGCAACAAATGATGTTGCCTGGCAGACCGAGAGGGCGGAGCCGCTAACAAATACACACACACACAGGCTCACAATGACATTGTGACATCATATGGTACCAGCTAACATCAAAGTGTGCCTCTTAGCCAATAGCAGTTGCACATTTAAAATCAAATGTCTTGCAGAGTTTTTACCTGAAGAGGGCGCTGATGCTGACAGTTTTAGGCAGAATATTTAAACTTTAACTAAGATGCACTAAAGTGCAAAACTATTGTCTACACATGTCTGCAGCACGATCAGACACGCATTTATAAAGTTTGTCAGCAAAAATAAAGCTGATTTGGGGGTGACTTGCTCTTTAAGGTGGAATGTTTAAAGTTAATAATCTGAACTAAACATCTTTATTCTGCTGGGTTAATTAAAACGTCTAAAAGCAACAACAACAGCAGTCCTTCTGAGCGGTGAACTCACCTGGTGTCCTCCAGGTTGATCCGCGTGATGACCCACGCCACCATGAAGACAAACGGGATTCCTGAGAGACGAGGACAGAGAGACTTTAGATTGTCCAGGAGCCGGATGGTGCCACACAGGAAATATGAGTCGTGTAACATCTGGGCTCGGAGCGTGGCCGCAGGAGTGCTGGTAGAGCCGTGATGGATGGTGGAAGAAGGTCACGTGGCGACAGCTCAGATGGAACGGAACAAAACGACGGGAACTGTTTACAGCCAGACCTTTCCCAGAATACGCCAGTTCACTTAGAGAACGACCCACTGGCTGCCTCTGTGGCGATTCCACTGCAGCTCGTAAGACAACGGAGGTTTTGGTTTATCAGGAGCTCCTAAAATCACACTGAGCGTCATTTTATCAGATTAACTAAAGCTGATCTTTCATTGTTCGCTGATGAAGCAACGGCCCCACAGCAGCTGCTTCCAGAGCAGGGAGACAGAGATCCAGCTGCTGTAAACACTGTGACAGGTTATGGAATAAAACTGTCAGAGTTTTGAGCAGAAATGAAAAACAAAACTCAAGCTGAGCTGGTCCGGCTGTGAAATACGGCGGCGAAAAAACCTTAAATCTGGCGTTTTATAACTTTCAGAAACTTCTGAAGCTGAAAAGTGAAACAGAGGAAACCTGCAGCTTTCTGCTGCTGATGTGGTCATAATGTTTTGGCTGATTAAATCAGTGGTTAGCGTAGCGTTAGACGTTGAGTCATATTTACAATAAAACTATAAATTACATTACATTTAGTGTTTTTCATTTGTTTCACAAACGTGCACGTTTCCTCTTCACGCCGGTGCTTCATGTATGAGCTGGGTAACCATAGCGACCACCTCCGCACCAGAAACCTGATGATCTTCTCTTCTACTCTATCCCAGCCAAGCAGGAGCCTTGGCTTCGTGCGACAGCCTCCTGGTTTCCTGCTCGCTGTTTTACCCGACTGAGCGGCGCTCTCACCTGAGATTCACCTGTACGTGACCTCACCCCTCCCTGCGCGGGTTGTGGTGCAGCTTACCCCAGCCGATGGCCATGTAGACGGAGAGGCGCGTGGCGTGGGCCAGGACGACGAGCAGCAGCGTGTGCAGGTAGAGACCTTCAACCAGCAGCCAGAAGAAGTTGGCCATGACGAAGTAGTTAAAGAAGACCAGGCTGGCCTTGCAGCCCACCTGTAGCAGCAACACAGACCGGATCACCGCAAGCTCGTCACCTGAACTTACCTGCAGACATTTGTAATCGAAACCTGCACAACCGACCCGAAGACTGATCAGAACCTGTAGATTGTGTTAGCCTACAGGGAGTCAGGTGTGTTGGACCAGGGGTCACCAGCTCCAGTCCCCAAGATGGGGATCTCAGAGCAGGTCCACCATTATGGTTCAGCTCAAAGCTGGAGACCAGGATGAGGAGGAGGAGCTAAGCTTGTGACCCGCTGGAAGGGGCGGAGCCAAGCTGTTGTGGCTGCATATGGATCTTCCACGTGCTACTGAGGCTCCTGATAGCGGAATAACAAACGACATGTTGATTTTTCCTGATTATTGTAGGAAAA